ACCTATCCGTACACTCCGTCAACTCATGTAGGCCTTGTGTTAATACTTGTCAAGATTTGTCAAGAAGGTAGCTTTGCTATCTAAGGTGGCTGGACTTAGAATGGAGGCTATATTGACTCCTCCGACCTTCCTGGGATATTGCGTGATTATTAACTAAAGGACTCATTAGTGACATTTCCTACTCTTGTAATCTTAAGTAAATCCTATATTTATTTGTTAATATATTATCTGATGTTCTTGATTTTTGGGGTGTCACACGTACTTTGAGCGGTCTTCCATACTTGCATTCCATTGGGCCATGTGGCACACCCAAATTGAGCTACCACTTGTGATTGAATCCCACTTTAGCTATCCTCAACTGCACTAACTTTAAGTGCTCTTATGTCGAGTCAACTCAGGTCAGTTTCACCAGACGCTTCATAGCTCGGCGAAGCCTTTCAGGACACTCTGCGCTTAGGTCAGTCCATGATTATTCATTCATAGCTCGGTCAACTCTTTCGGTCGCCATCCCAATAACCTTCTGCATGTTAGCTTGGTGAATATCTTCAGCTCAGTCCTAGGTAGTGGCCCCATCTTGGCTTAGCCCAGCCCAATACCGATGCGCGGGCATAACCCCACACGTGGCCTAACTTAGGAGATAGCTCGGTTTGAGCTTGCAACCTCATCTCAACTTTGCCCCGGCCCATTACCGAGGCACGCGCTCAGCTCGGTCCACAACCGAAGTCTATCATCCAGCTTGATTCAACATCTTAAACGAGGGTTAGTGTGGGATGCTTTTTTTTTTTTGGGTTACCAAGTGCCCCTGACAATTTAGACTCTCGAATCTGATTTGATATCGCTAGTACAATGTGAAACAGAAAATGAGAGTTCAAATCCTACAACTTTTATAGAAAATCCATTTTATTGCAAAATTTGGCCAGAAATAGACTACATCATCATATTTTAGAGTCGTCATCTAATCTTTTGGGAAAATTAGGAAACCCATGATTGGTGTTAAAGGCCACCATCTGTTATAACCAAAGTGTCTTGGATAAAAAACATAGTTATAAGAAGGGAAGGTCATTAATTGAGCACCCCACTCACCCGATCAAAGATCAGTCTCTACTAAGTCATAATGTGATTTTTACAGTCAAAGTATATCCATATTTTGATTATTAATAATGCTACCATTACTATCTGAGGCTTGCAAATATAGATTGTGCTGTTAATTTTGGTTATGCTTTGACTTCATGCATTTTGAATAGGGTTTTCTTGGATAAAATCTGTAGCATAAGAATCATCTATATTTCAAAATAAACAACACAACCTTCATCCATTGGCTTTCAAGTAGATATCTCACTTAAGCACTTAGCCACATGATATAGCAACAAATATGATAAGGAACATACACATGCAATATGCTAAAGCTCAAAATGCTCACTTAGTACTCAAAAACGAGTCCCAAGACACATGCATATATATATATGCATGATCTTATATTCAAATTCGTAATGCATTGCATTCATAACATGCAACTAGGAGTTCGGAAGCTAGGATGTGACATGAACATCACCTTAAGACATGGATTCATGCATGTATTCATCTTTGAAAATAATAAAAACCTCACAAATGTTGCTGAATTGGACCCAAATGCATGAAAAATGAATGCAATATATAGGCATGATAAAGAAAACATGAGGCAATACCGAAAGTGGGAAAATAAAAGGATTAGAAAGATGTGGGATTGGAAAATTATAACAACAATTCGAATAAGAAAAGGGAAAGAGAGAAGAGAGAAAGAGATTATTACAATAATGAACCGATTCAGTCTAACTACTGTTGAATCTAACAAATCATACTGTATAAGAAAAGAACAACCTAGGAGCTCTAGAACTACCCAGGGAAGCATTACTTAGAAGTTGTTTGTTCTGTTCTTGGAGGGGAGTGATCGGTCAGACATAAAGTGCACCGGTCGCACGAGGAAGTGGCTGGACGAATTTCTTCTCCGACTGGGGCATAGGTCAGTGTAGAATTGCAGGACAGAAGCCAAAAGGGCACCTTCTGGGGGATGCTCAACTCCTCTGCTCCCTTCAATTGACAGGGACCACATAGAGAAGAGGCAGATAGGCCAAAACCCTTAATAATGACAGAACAAGATATACACGACATATATTTTACAACAAATCAACAATAAGCGAATCAAAATCAAGAACAAATTCAAGCCCAAGAAAGGAATAGGAACCTACATCTTCTCTTTGTGAATAAAGGTAAATTAATACCCAAATCCATACTATTAAATGGAGAGCGTAGAATAATGCAAATAATTTCTTGGCGGAAGATTTGCTTAACAAAACAAGAGATTCATCAAATTCATTGAAAACCCCTCATCTAGTCATAGAGCAAGGGTGATAACATTGCTTTCTATGTTCACAAATTATTGAGAATGGAGGTTTTAACTTCCTTTGACCCAAATTATCTTATTTTACTTCCAAAAAACTCAATGAAAAGGAGGAGGCACCACTTGTCTACATAAAATCCAATGGATCACCCAAGCAATCCCATGGAATAACCTCTAGCACTCATGGTAATGGAGTAAGGAGTTGAACCACATGGATTAACACACTTGAGAGATAGGATAAGTAAGGATAAGTAGTGTAATAGTAAGAAAAGCTACCCAAACTTATTGAACTTGTGAATGGATGGCTAAAACTACTCTCAATCACATCCACAAGGGTCCAAAATACATACTGGACAGTTAGAGCTAAGAAAACCAAGAAAAGAAAGAAAAGGCTATCAACTTAATGGATTGGTGGCTATGGTTACTCCCTCCACATCCATGAGGACTTACAACAATTACATGATGAAAACAAAGCTTAAAACTGAAGAAATGGAAATAGAAAAGTGGTTTAGATTATGAGAAAATCACCTCCTAAGAGGATATATCACTTTAATTCACAAATTCCCTTGTTAATTCCCTTAATTTATTTTAGATGTATTGTTTTATATCCAAGAGTCTTAGCAAGGTGCTTAGGATCTAGCTTCCATGGAGTGTGGATGTCCAAAGTTAAGAGGGTGGTAGTTAGGATGTATGGTTAAAAGGAGAAAGGGTCAAGAAGCTCTTAGGAGCCTTGGGAAAAAGTTTCAATCTCTTGAAAAGAGTTGTTGAGCTCTTATATATAAAGCCCATGTCATAAATATTTGAGATATTTGTGGTAGGTAAGCAAAGCAAGTTGAAATTCCCAAAAATGCTCTATACTTGGAACATTCAGCCGGCCGAGCTTCTTAGTGATCAGCCGAGTGCTTTTGTATTCAACCATCCTATGGTGTCCGGCCAGCTAGTGGGTACATCGTCAGATCAACAAGAGAAGGTTAGCCTGAATTGAAAGGAGACACATGCATTTCAGAGGATTTCATCATTCCCATTCACTTCCACTATATTCATCGCTCAATTTGTTTTGAAAGAATACTACGTTTTGATTTTCAAATTATGAGCCTCAGAACATTGCGGTAACGTCTGGAGTTGCACCACTAAAACTCATTTTGGAAGGGGTTTCCATTTTGGTCGAAACATTTTGTTTAAAACAAGCACTGGATGGTTTTAAAGCTTGATCCTTAAACTTCTAAATGCTGAACTCGTAAGGATTAACACATCTTATCTATAACATCGAAAACTCAAAAGGGAGCGTCCAAATCTTAAGGCTAGTAAAAAATGGAGTGTCTACAGTTAGTTCGGTCCATTCGTTCGATATGAATTCCCCTCTCAATTATACTGACCTTGAAATAAAGGGAAGCTCACTTGGATGGAAGATGTCAATTGCGTTGGACAATGGGTCACCAACTACTCTCTCTCTCTCTCTCTCTCTCTCTCTAAGATTTGGGGATGAAGAAGGTATTGGATGGTGGGTTTGATGAATTGATGTTGGGGTAGTTGGGTTAACAAATAGAGAAAGATGAAATGGGGTATTTTAGTTATTTAATGTCATTTTTAACATCGTTTGAAGCAAAGTTAACATGAGGGCGAAGTTTTATAATAGTTTCAAAAGTAAAAAGGTTAGTATTATTATTAAAACTACAAAAGTGGTCTCTGCGATTATACTAAACCTTAGGGGAGGTTAGTGTAATTTACCCTAGATAATTTAATGCCATTATCTCTCTTTTCACTGAAAACAAGATAAAAATCCTCAATAACATTGGAGTCATGCTACTATACACAACCCATTTGGGATGTGTACCATATAAATTTTATGACATTTGTGGTATTATTTATTACTACTATCATAACTAAATCATATTTCAGTCATAACTTAGGGCAAGGCGCTTTCTTTTATACTAGTAACCGCCTACCAATTATGTCTACACGCGATAAGATGCTATCTTGACCACTGATTGTGTATAACTGTATATCCATCAGAGCTAAATTGGTGTCCAAGCCAGAACGTGAAGCATTTTTTTTCAGACATCCAATGGATCCAAGTTCCAACCGGCCCAAGTTGGATACAACCAAAATCAAGTTTAAATAACCTAATGCAAACACTAGTAGCATCCCAAAATTTTAGACCTTAGGCAAACCGTTAGAATGAGGCCTTATCTCACTAGACCTTTGAAAAAAAGAGACCTTTGGCAATAAAAATTGTGAGATTCTCTTGATGGCCTTAAGCGATGGTCTTATTGACCAATTTGGTTGAGCCACTTCTGACAAAAAAAGAACGAAGATAGTGTTAATGGTAAAGGGACTGCATGTGAAGACTGCAGTTAATTTCCAAGGCAGTCAATATCTAAAATTAGTTAAGCTCTCTGCATATTTCAAGCCAATCCTCTTCATGACTAATATATTTACAACTGTGAAGTCTGAACTCATATATTTTCAAATGTCTTAAGAGTCAAATTGTGGTTAAACCGTAGGATTAACTGGAGCAAGTATTCGTTCACTTATGTGGCAATGTCACTGATGGCACCAAATAATTTTTCGATTAACAGCAAAATTCAACCCCATTTACAGTACGCACTCAGGACTAGAACTATTTGGTAAAAACCATGAATTATTCTTTATAAAATTCCCCAAAACAAATTACAATAAGGAAACAAGAAAAACATTTCCAAACATATATTTTTTCTTTCCATTATCTTCTCTTTTCGGTGAAAGAACACCTCAAACAAAAAGATAAACTGCGCAGGTGAACATTTGTGCACAAACTTAACCCATGTTCAGAAAGGATACTTCCAAAATCAAGTTGCATTTACAAAAACTGAAGCAGGTGAACATTTGTGCAGATTTAGACTGGAATTGAGTGCTCATCAGAAGTAGAGAAGTAGTCTGCATTTGAAAGGTGTGTTATTGAGTCAAGGGACTGAAGTGCTCTCACAACTTCAGGCATTGATGGCCGTTTCTCCGGCATTACACACGTGCAACGAAGAGCAATCTCTAGAGCTCCCAACATTTCTTGTTGAGAAGAGTTTGATATCTTGGGGTCAAGAACTTGCAATGCCCCGTTAGATATGTTGATTTTTCTCCGAACCCATTTCAACACATTAAGAGAGTCTCCTGATTCTGTTTGGTCTGCTGGTCGGCCTGTCACGAGCTCTAACAGGACAACACCAAAGCTGTATGTGTCCATTTGTTCTGTGGCTTTTTTACTGTAACAATTTTCTGCATACAAATAAATAATACTGATTGTAAGAAATTTAAGTACTCAAATTCCACAGCCATATTGAAATGATATGAGAAATAGGACTAACAACCAACTAATTATGTGTCACCTCATAAATTTAGCCAATAGTCAATGAAGATTAGTGCCACTTGTTGCCAAACAAAAAATAGTTTGTATTATGCTTGAAGGCGACTAAAAGGGAAAAAGATTCGACTGCACTATGACGGCTGAGTAGTAAATTTTCTCAAACTAGAAAACAAAATTCTTGCTGATTGTCCATTTTGGTGGTTGTGGTTTTGTTGAAGAATTGATTATCAAACACAAGGAAACACTAATTTACATTCAGGGAAGTTAAAAAGAGAGTAACTGTGAAGTTCTTCTTTTCCTTCTTTTCACATGGAAATGGCTGTTTGGAAGTGTAATTTCTCTATAACAAAACTCCCATAGTGGCTATTAGAATTTTTTACCAAACCAGGCTGCTTAAAATCTTATTTTTCAAACCAGGTTGTTTAAGGAAAGTTGTGTTTTAAAATTACAACCTTATTGAACTCACGTAACCCGACTTCAAGTAATAAGTTGAAAACCGATTAGGTTTCGGAATTAAGTTTTTCAAATTACCTGGGTTTGGTACAAAAAAATAAAAGCAATCTACGAGATCACTATAAGTATAAACGTTACCAAACACACCAGTTTAAGGAAAGTTGTGTTTTAAAATTACAACCTTATTGAACTCACGTAACCCGACTTCAAGTAATAAGTTGAAAACCGATTAGGTTTCGGAATTAAGTTTTTCAAATTACCTGGGTTTGGTACAAAAAAATAAAAGCAATCTACGAGATCACTATAAGTACTCTACTATGAAGCATGGATATTTTAACTAGGGTGACATATCCATATTAGATACTAATACTCCTTGGATACTCGCATATACATATTGGGTATTTCTTAATTAATTTTTCATTAATTTTGGAGTATCGGATACTTAATTTTGAAGTATCGGATACTCCAAGTCACGTATCCTAATTGTTTCATGCATATTTCCTATAACTACATAGAAAGTAAGGATTAACAGAAGGATATAACAATAGTAAAATTAAATATCAATCAATAAATAAGTAAACTTAAGTACAACATTTTTTACTAGTACCAAAGAGAAAAGTACCGAAACGAGTTGTGAATTGTTCTATTATTGAAATATAAACATATTAGATTTGATATTGAAATGAAATATTTGCAAAATCTATTGAAAATTTAATAGGCAAACAAGTTACTAGCTTAAATTGATATACCTAATTCTTGAACGCAAAATACATTGTGGTTTCTCAACTTCTTTACCTTATGTATAATTCACTATTAATAATTTTAAAATACATATTTGTCACAAACGTATCTTAACCGTACTCTATTCTTTTTTTAAAAAAATTTTGTCGTATCGCCATATTCATAGCGTATTGTATTGTATCTGCATCTCATATCTGTCTCCATGCTTCCTAGGTACTCCATTTCCCCCCAAAGATGCGCACACTTTGAAAAGAGCTCAGGAATTTCAGATAATCGACAAAAGCATATATATATACTTGGAATATTGGGAAAACAATTCTATGATGCTAACCTAGAGGAAATTAGCTAATAGATATCAATTTCAGCTTAAATTCTAGATAAATAAATTGTGCAATGGTGTCTTCAGGAATTTTTAAGTAAAGAGCCAATACCCGGTGCCATGTAACAGGAATCTGCAGATTCTGATGCCAAGGATGACTGAAATGCAGTTTCTCCCACAATCCGATCAAGAGCAAAATCTGTGAGTTTCGGCTCAAAATCCGCATCCAGAAGAACATTCTTGGATTTAACATTTCTATGAAGTGTACGAGGAACATAATCCTTGTGAAGGTATGCCAATCCTTGAGCAACTCCAATGGCAATCCTCAGCCTACCACTCCAGGGCAAACTAAAATCCAGTCTGCGAATCAAATCCCCGAGGCTCCCTCTCTGCAAATATTCATAAATCAGAAAGATCGAATCATCCGAATGGCAAAATCCCAGAATTTTATTGATGTTCTTATGCCTGATCTTAGCTAATGTCTTGATCTCAGCTTTGAGAGCTTTTGAAGATTGGCTTCCAAAATTAAGTATCTTCTTTACAGCAATAAGTTCACCACTTGGTAAGGTTACAATGTGAACTCTACCAAAAACTCCACTACTTCCAGCAGCACTTTTATCATCCATTGCCATCACCAAATCATGCTCCGTCACTCTAAGTGGATAGAAAAAGACTGAACGCCATATACCCATCTCCGATTTTCGCTTGGAAGATCGGATCAAATAAAACCCAACAGCAACAATCAATATTGCAACTACTAGAGCTATAGAGATCAGGGCACATGCCAATTTTGATAGACCAGCCACTTTGTGATCTGGTTTACTATCAGAGCACGAATTGGGCAGTCCCAATCCACAAAGATCTGGATTTCCTTGCAGAAATGAAGCCGGAAGGCCGGAGATGAGAGAGGATGGAACTCTGCCTGACAGATGATTGAAGGACACGTTGAAGAGAGCAAGCTTCAAGTTCTGAAGCTCTGGTGGGATAGGACCAGTCAGATTATTATCAGAAAAATCAAGGTAAGTTAGCACTGGCAATTCAGCAAGTGATGATGGTATTTCACCAACAAGGCTGTTGTCTGCCAAAGATAATGAGACTAGTTTCTTGCATTTTCTCAGCTCTGGAATTCGCCCGGAAAGTGAATTGTGAGAGAGATTTATGATGCTCATAACCGGCGAATCACAAAAATTAGGAGGAATTTCACCATACAAACGATTCAGAGATGCAGAGAATCTATACAAGCTCATAACCATTCCAAAACCCTGAGGAATCATACCAGAAAAGCTGTTGTTATCTATCTGAACTTGCTCCAATTGAGCAGCCATGGAAATGGAGTCAGGTATTTCGCCGGAGAAACCATTGTTTTCAGCTCTGATGAGCTTAATCTTGGGCAATGACCATAACCCATTTGGGAAATCCCCAGAGAACACATTGTTCTGAACCTGAAACCTCTCAAGATTCAAGCATTCATTGATAGAGTTGTTGGGTATTGATCCATTGAACAAATTTGTATGGAGAACAAGGTTTATGAGGCCCTTAGCATTGCAAATGCCATCTGGGAATAATCCAGAAAGCTTGTTCTGTGAAACATCAAAAGACACCAAGTTTGTAAGAGATGACCCGAGTGTCTGAGGTAACCCACCAGTTAGATTGTTCTGGGAAAGGTCTAAAATGGTCAAACCAAGCAAACCCACAAAGGATTCAGGGATTGAACCATAAAAACCAGAGCTTTGCAACAAAAGATGCTGAAGTGTACCAAGCTTCCCAATATCAGTGGGAATCTCACTGACCAAGAATGAATTTTGAGATAAATCAAGCACTACAAGCTCAGTGAAATTACCAAAAACAAGAGGAAGACTACTTGATAGCAAGTTGCTACCCAAGTTGAGAACTTGGAGATTCTTCAAAGATCCAATGCTTTCTGGGATCTTTCCTTCAACATGGTTTCTACTGAAATCAAGAACAGTCAGTGAGCCAAACTGAGAAATCTGATCTGGGATTGGACCCCAAATGAGGTTGTTACTGAGATTCAGATTCTCCAGAGAACTACACTGTGAAAGATGGAGAGGAATGGTTTGGTTGAAGAGGTTGTCAGCAAGGTTGAGATGGGTGAGATTGGGGAGTTGACAGAGAGATGATGAGATTTCACCGGAGAGGTTTAGGTTTTGGAGATTGAGGATAGAGACAGAGAGAGGAAGTGAGGTTGTGCAAGTGACTCCAGTCCAGTTACAGTGATGGGTATCTGAAGTGTTAGACCAGCTTGAAAGATAGTTCATGGGGTCTTCAATGGATGCCTTGAATGTGAGAAGGATGTCTGGTTCAGAAGAAGCAGAACAGAGAATGAAGATTGAGAAGGTTAGAGAAAGAAAGACTGTAGATGTGGTAGTGGAAGCCATTGGAGTACACTCTGAGAGCTTGATTGTGTTGTTATCAATCTTTTTTGTATAGGTTTCACTTTCTCAAGTGAGTGAGAGACATAGGGAGACTTGTGACTCACAAGCTGACCCAATGGATTACTGGATCTTGATGGATATAAACTGTTCAACTCTCATGGCCATGGGGATGCATTCTTAAATTGTAAAAGCAACAAAAAGTCAATCATAATATGATGGACCAAACAAAAACACTACTCTGCCTAGTTTTGGTTTTCACAATTTATTGTTTAGAAAATTTTATTTTTTTATTTTTCAAAATTTTTTAATTTATTTTTCCTGACCTTTTTTAATATTTTAAACAGATTTTTTTAATTTTTAGACACAATAAATATAAATACACTTAAAAAATATAATTTTTGTGAAAATAATCTTTAAAATATTTTCTAAATACTAAAAACACCAAAAAAAAAACCAAAATTAAATATACTTTTTTGTATTTTTATATATTTATTAATTTTTTAAAATATTTTTTCATAAATATTTTCCTTTTTAGATACATCTAAGTAAGGTAAATTTAAAAAAATAAAAAAAATTAATTAAAATTTTAAAAATATTCACTAAAAATAAAAAAATATAAAAAATAAAAAACTTAATTTTTAAAAAATTAAATTTAAAAAATTGCAGCTAAACACACTATCGCACTATGAGGAAATTCTCGGCATACTTCACAATTCACACAAAAATTCATGATATTGCATGATAGCTTTAGATAAAGTTCAAAACTTTACGCTACTTTGGAAATAAATTTTTTTTTTTGGCCTTTGGTGTTCTCAATACAACTTGTGAGAAAAATACGGCATCTCTCTGTCTGCTATTTAAGTTGTCGCTGTCAAAATTAGTTTGAATTTCAGAATCAATTTTATAACAGATATTCAAAAAAATTAAAAATTAATTTGATGAAAAAATTTAGAAAAAAACACACGTTATTTTTATATGATTTTATGTTTTATGGATGGAAATAATTTTAAATTTTTTAAAAAATATTTTATTGGTGTTTAATTTTATCAAATTAGTTTCTCTTCCGTTAAAAGGATTTCTAAAAATAATTTGTTGAAGTGAAAACAAACAAATAAATTTCATCAAAAATTGAGATAATGAGTTTGAGAAATAAGACAGTTACTACTTGAATAACCCACCTATTTTTTAAGGAGTATTTTTTCATAATTTTTTTTTATCTACTTATATTTCATTTAGTCTATATTATTTTTTTATAATCCAATAAGTTCTATGAGTGATATAATTACCAAAATATCCTTAATAATATTCACATTTACAGTGTGAATATTCCGTCATGTTAATGTTCACAATGTCAATGTGCATGTTCACACTATCAATGTTGATGATACTTCCGTTATTGGATGCTGCAAATGGAACGAGTCAGAATGATCCACTCTTCCCAAGCCGTTGTCCATTGGTTGAAAGCAAGTTAGAGAGGTGAGGAAGAAGAAGATGTAGGAAGAGGATGGAGATAGATAACTTAACCTTTTCTTTGTCTTAGAAACTTGTTTATATCCTCTGCTCATTATTTCCTCGCCTGCCCCGACCTGCCACATTGGCCGAAAGTTTACGTTTTAGCTCGCCTTGTTCATGGTGAAGCCGTTCTGCCCCGACGTGAAGGGGTTATCGCATTAAATGCCGAAGTGAAACTCATTAATGGCTGATGTGTGGTGTAATAACTTTGTAGGATCTTTGTCAGCTTATGTGGCTGGTTCTTCTCTTGACAGGTGTTCTGATGCCATTGGTCCTGAGTGTAACGTTGGGCCCTAGCAATGTTGGGCTTTAATGTTTGAATTATGTATTGGGCCCTAAGTGGTGGGTCAACAGTCCTTGTAGGCCCACCTACGTCAGTAGTCCTCTATTCTCGAGTGCAGCTTCAGCCCAATGAAGGGAATAAGATAGAAAATGGGGTTGTGAGAGGTCGATCGGGGGGGGGTCCAACTAAAAGGAGGGCTAACCGCTAAGGATGACCGAGTGGGAAGGGGAAATGACGGCGCACCGGGCTCGAGGTGCGGCATGGCACGTGATATCGTGAAGTGAAAAAGACAGGGGAAAGGAAAGGAGTAGGGATCGTGGTCGTACACGTGGCGTAATCCTTTAGTTGGGGAGGTGACGCGTCAGTGCAAAGTGAAGGGGCGAGGTGATATAGGGTAGTGAAAAGGGAGAGACGGGAGTTTTTCGAAATATTTCAGACTGGCGGAGTTGAATCTTGACCCTTGGAATACGGGTAAGTCGTGGGCTTTTGGGATTATCCGTTTTACTTACTTTTTCACAAAAAACCAACACATCCCTGAAGTGAGCTCATTTGTCCCGTATGATACGGCTCTGCAACACTTTGCGAACTTCCTTGTGCTAGCGTCCGAAGCAATACGAAACACGTAGGAGAAATGGCCGAAAAAGAAGTGTCTGCCGCAAGGCTTGATTCGTTAGGTGATGACGACGCAGTGGACCTAGCGGAACGATATCGGGTGGAGCGGAGGGAGGGGAGGGGGGCTGGTCAAGTCATGTGGGCCCCTTCTCCGACGACGACAATGATCGCGGTCGCTAGGCCTATAAGCCAAGTAGAGCCGGACCACTGGCACACCAAACCAGACAGATCCACAATTACAGCGGAGGAGTTGGAAGAGGTACGAAGAAAGTACCAAATTTCGGTAGAGATAGAGTTGAGGGTGCCCACTTCTAAGGAAAGGGCGTCAGATGTGCGGCCGGTAGAGTTTGCACTTTACGAAGAAGCGTTGCGGACAGGGCTGAGGTTGTCTATCCCCAAGTTAGTGGCAGAGATACTTAATCGACTGGAGGTTGCGCTGGGGCAACTGATGCCCAATGCATAGAAAATTGTAATGGCCTGCGCGATCGCGTGGCCACGGGCGACCGACGGATCGGCGATGACAGTCAAAGAATTCTTTTTATGCTACAAAGCATCCGGTTAGCAAGAGACGTGGGTGATTTTGCAGGCGGTGGCGGGTAGGGGGTTAGTAGCTGGGCTACCATCGTCTGTAAAGGGGTGGAGGCTGAGGTAGTTCTTTGTATCGGCGAATGGGGCGGAAGGGGTGCGGACGATATGAAAGGTCCCCACGAAGTCGGTGGAGCCGAAGTTAGGGATGGAGGCAGAAGAGAGGGTCAAACAGGTGAAAGAGTGGAGGGAGAAGAAGGCTGTCAGATGGGACGACCTAGTTCACCTTTCATCCTTATATGCCTTGGGTCTAGGACTGCAACCGACTGAAGGAGACCCTGCAGTGGAGAAGGTGGAGGCGAGGCGAAAGGCGGAGGAGGCGGAGGAGCAGAAGACTTTCGCCAGAGCCGAAAAGTATAAGAATGCACAGTTAGGGCCTGCCCCTAAACTGGTGATGAGGGAGCAGGTCTGACCGCGTCCCAAACCATTGGGCGACATAGACTTAGCTGGTTTCGCCCTACTGCCACTACCAGCAGAGCCATTAAAGGAAAGGGGCAAGCAGGAAGTGGAGGTAGTGCTGAAGAAGCCAAAGAAGAGGAGGGTGGCCGTCGAGGGGGGAAAGAGCGCCCCTGCCATGAAGAAAACGAAGGTTGGGGGTGAGGACGTCCCTATGGTGGAGAAGGTGACTGAGGGAAGAGTGGGGGCAGCTCCAGAAGGGGAGATCGGCCCCGCGGCGAAGGAGGATAAGGGTCCCAGCGCCCAAGTGTTGAAAGAAAACTTGGAGACTTCCCAGGTGGCAAAAAAAGACAAGGGGCCAAGCGTCCAAGTGTTGAAAGAACACATGAGCCCAAGCGCCTAAACGGTGGTGGCAGTGCTTGTACTAGAAGTAACCTCCAGCCTCATGGGAGGGAAGACCAGGGCCAACACGCTAGGGACAAGTGCCGCGCTGACGATCGCGTTGTACCACGTGCGCTCGTTGGTAGGGCGCTCTGTGAAGGAAGGGGGGAAAGCTAGGGTGGCGATCGACCGCCTAGTTGGAGTGTTGAAGGATGTCGCCGTGCGGTCGATGGCACGATTGGGGGAGGCTGACCTCTTGAGAGGGTTGTGCTCAGCCCAAATGGAGGCAGCGACCTTGGCGGCTACTTTGTTGAATAAATCAGCACGTGTGAAGATGGAGATAGAGCCGTTAAGGGTTCAACTGGAATGGGTGAATGGGCAGCTGTAAAAGCTGATGGAAGAGACAGCGGGCTGGAAGGAAAGCGCTCGGAAGGCATGTGTACAGGGTGTGGAGTATGCGCGGAGAGCGAAGGTTATGGAGGTATTGGCAGTAGTGCATAGGAACACGACGGAGCGATCTAGTGTCGAGCTCGTCGTAACCAGGTCAGAGCTTGAAGCAGAGCACCACAATGTGATATCATTGGAGTTCTAGTTGGCTGGCGAGCGGAAGATGCTGGAGGAGGTCTAGAAAGCCTGCACAACCGCTAATGAAAGGTGAGATGAGGATATGACCTGTAATAAAGATCTGCGCGCCCAGTCGATCAAGGAGAAAGAATAAGCAGATCAGCAGATCGTTGAGTTGGAGAAGGCCCTAGGGGAGGAAAGGGCCCAATTGGCGTCTGAGAGAGCGGCGTACCCCGACCTGTGTAAGGCGGCGGTAGAGCAATTCAAGGAGTCCGCTGATTTCCAGATTGCCATTGATGCCGCGGTCGCCAAGGGCTTGGCAAGAGAGGGAGATGGTGGGGCTGGGCCGTCGGGAGCGACCGCTGGAAGTAGGAGTGAAGATGAAGTGATCCAGAGCTTCCAGCAGTCAGACTTCTACAAGCATGAGATGGCTGAGTTCTGGGACAGCGGCTGGAAGACCTTTAAACGTAAAGCGGAAGAGCTGTTCCCAGACTTAGACTTCAGCAATGTGAAAATAGATGAAGACGACGTTACCCAGACCCCCCTGAACGAGGGGGTTGAGGAGGAAGACCTGGCCTCTAATGAGAAAGATTGATTCCTGTAAAAATTTTGTGTTTATTATTTTTTTTATGTGTAATTTTGGTAATGAATTGTATGTAATTGTGAGTTTGTAAATCAAACAATGAGTTTTGCTTGGTCGTACCGTTGTTATTTCTTGTGAGTTGTAGATTGCAAAATAATGAAAATGGCGAAGCAGGTTAGAAATGGGTATACATTAAAATGTTAAAAGTGTTAGAAAAAGGTTGGCTTTGATGACTATGGACTTGGATGTTATCTGAATTAATATAAAATTA